CTCTCTCTCCCCCCACCTCTCCTCTTCCACCCCCACCTTTCCCCCTCTCTCTCTACCTCTTAGCTGGCCAACGGTCTCCAGTCTGGCCACGTTATATGCCCTCTGTAACCTTGTACTCTTTGAGAACACTACTGTCTGCATTGTAACTCGCACCAAATCTCATTCATCATTTTTCTTCCATGGACTCCCCGTCTAACAATATCACCTTTTTCAAATCTTTGTGCTGTTCACAAATTCTCCAAGACTCATTCCCTCCCTACTTCTGTAACCTTCTCTTTACAAATATTGTGAGCACTATCTATCAGTTCAATCCTGGCAGTGACAGCAGGGACTGGCCATTATTTGATTATAAATGGATTTGGGGGAAAGGCAGGAGTTTGGCACTAGGCAATGGAACCACTGCAGCCATAATGGGCCAAATGGCCACCTTCTGTGCCGTAATAATTTTGTGATTCTGAGCGATTATCTTAACTGACTTATTTAACCCAGGATATGACTCTTACTTTTGAAGCTTTTGTTTGTCACGGGAGTGTGTGTTTGTTGAGAATTATGAATTATTTCTTTGAATGTTTGCAGTTTCTCAGCTACCATCCCATCTTTTAATTTCCTTTCCCCAATCGATCCTCATGAACTAATCTCTCAGACCTTAGCCAGGTCTATTTTATTCAGATTTAAAACCTCAATTTCAAATGTAACCACATCACTCTCAAACACCATGTGAAATTGTCTCTCTCTCTGATCTCTCTTCACAGAGGATTCTTTACAAATTAACTCTGTCTCATTACATCATGCCATGTCTAAATTACCCTATTCCATTGTTAGATCCTTGATATACTATTTCAGAGTATGAATGACTGTTCTCCTGCAGACACTGTTACTGACTGTATCTCTACCGATGTTAATCCAGCTCTGTCACACTGTCACTCAGTAACCCCTCTTCCCCTCCGCGCCATGTTACTGATTTGTATCTGTACTGATGTTAACCCAGCTTCCTCACACTGTCACTCAGTAACCCGTCTCCCCACGTAGTGCCCTGTGTTACTGACTGTCTCTGTCTCTGTACTTATGTTAATCTAGCACCCCCGACACTGTCACTTAGTAACCCTCTACCACCACACACCCCCATCCAATGCCCTGTGTTACTGACTGTGTCTCTATTGATGTGAATGCAATAATTGCATGGTATTGGGGATTGGATGATGAGGCAGTAATTACTGTTACAATTTTGGGGAGTGGTGACTATCTGGGATCATTCTGCTGTCCTCCCTACATAGTAGTGCACTGAGGTGAATACTTACCTTTTTTTATCCCGGTCCCATGGTGTTAAACCTCGAGGTCTTTGGCAGGAGTATAGAGGGGACCTGGGTCAGTGCTCTCCTGCTGCTGAGGTGAGCTGGCAGTGGGAATACCTGCTGGTCCCACAGAGAGGCAGACAATGCCACATGTTTGTGCTGCCTTGCCAGCTCAGTGAAGCAGCCAGAAGTCCATCAAAAACAAAGACTCCCTGCCCAAGGATAGGGCTGCAGCAGGACCCATGGCCCAGGTCACCTGTCTGAGGGGAGGGGAGGAGGTTCCTTTAACTCCAAAAAGCCCTAGGCTTTGTCTCTCAACAAGTTCAGGGTTGGGTCCATGTCTCTGAAGGTGCCTGCCTCCATGCTGAGGTGACCTCATGCTCCCCAGCCTCCCTCAGCAGCTTCTCCCAATGGGGCCTTCAGCCTCCAACATGAGCCTGGATGACATTCTGTAGATGGCTGCTTGCTGTGCACCCTGTCACTCAGGAGGCTGGCTCCCAGCCTGGCCCACGACAAGGTGAACCCCAGGCTTCATTTGGCCTCATGCAAAACCCAACCCATGGTGTCAGTGTTTTAGGTCACAGTTGTCAAAGTGTCCCTTCAGTTTTAGAATGTGAACCATCATGAGGCAGATGCACAGTCCCATTGCTAAGTGATTCCATTCTATCCCAACTCACTGTCCATTGCTGAAATGGTTTTCATGTAGGGAGCCTGTGTCCTAATGCCCTTGGCTCCTGACTGTAGCTACACCAGGGAGATAGTGAATGCTGGCCTTTGCACAGTGTTTGTATGTATGATAGTCCCCGTTTACCAGGTCACTGATGTCCCTCTGACCATCCACCCCTACACTGAGGTCCCACTGAAGTCCCACCATCTTCACTTTATTATTGTTTCATGGGATAAGGGCATCGTTGGCTAGACAACATTTATTGCCCCTCCCTAATTGCCCAGAGGCCAGTTATGAGTCAACCACATTGCTGTGGGTTTGGAGTCACATGTAGGCCAGACCACATAAGGATGGTCATTTTCTTCCCTAAGGGACACTAGTGAACCAGATGGGTTTTTACAACAATCGGCAATCAGTTCATGATTATCCTTAGATTCTTAACCCCAGATATTTATTGAATTCAAATTCCACCATCTGCCGTGGCGGGATTCAAACCCAGGTCCCCAGAATGTTATCTGGGTCTCTGAATTAACAGTCCAGTAATAATACCACTAGGCCATCGCCACCTCATTCACTGATTCTCCCCCACCCTTTCACTGAGGTCCCTCTGACACCCCCATTCACTGTCGCAGGTGCAGAATATGACCCAGTCCATCGAAGTTCTGGATCGCCGAACCCAGCGAGATCTGCAGTATGTGGAGAAAATGGAGACACAGATGAGAGGCTTGGAAACAAAATTCAAACAGGTGGAGGAGAGTCACAAAGCGCATCTCTCCCGACAGTTTCAGGTAGATTCGGTGCCACAGTTGATTCACGTTCTGCTTGTGGGGTTACTCTTTGGGACAGAGAAATGTTTGGGGTCATTGAGTATTTTGTCAGTTTCCAGTGTCACAGAGACCCCTTTTCTGCAGGGAGTCCAATGTGCAATTGAGTTGTGATCTCCTCTGTTGTAGGAAATGCCATTGAGCCTGTCAGCCTGTCGTGCCACATTTACTATTAAACAAACCCAGTCACAGGGTCCTCCAATATCTTTCACCTTAGTGTGGAGAAAACTGATGGAAATCTCTCAAACTGTGAGCTCTTTCGCAATAGTTAATAAACTTGTCCCCTTTCAGAGGTCTCAGAATTAACTTTTGCAGAGGCAGATTCACAATCACCTCCCTCTAGAAGCTACTTTAACCTTACATTCACTAATTTTGAAGCTTATGGGCAACACATACATAAAATGTGAGAGGAGGCCATTCAGCCCATTGTACCCATCCCATCTCTTTGTTATAGAGAGAAAATGCCAGGAATATTGAATAATTAGTTTCCCTGCATCTTTACTGAGAAAACAGAGATGGTGAGCATGACGTTAGAAGATGTCAAAAGTATAAAGCTTATTTAAAATAGGAAAAGGGAAGATAATTAATAAACTAATCAAACCAGTATAAACCCTGGTCCAGTTGGATTATATCCAATGCATATTAAAGTTCGGGAGGAGAAGCAAAGACACTGGTACATGTATAACAATTGGTTAGATACTGTCAGGGCACTTGTGGACAGCTAATGGGATCAATATTTTCAAAAGAAATGTGAAAGAAAACCAGGGGACTATGGAACAATTAGCTTAATGTCAGTTTTAGGAAAGGCAGTAAATTCCTTGCTTTCTAATTAAGGGAATGCATCCCTGAATAGCAAAAATAAAGAAACACCAGCAAGAAGAGTAAAAGGGAAAGTCATTCCTGACTAACCTTATTGGAATTTTTGAAGAAATAACAGACTAGCTAAGGGCAATACAGTGGATGTCTTATTTAAACTTTTAGAAGGTCATTGATAAGATACCACAAAGTAGGTACATATTAAAGTCAGAACATGTGGAATCAGGGTCAGGTAGCACAATGCATAGGAAGTTATTGATAAAACACAGAAGAGAGCAGTGGTGGGATGTGTTTTTTTGACCAGGATTAATCTGGGATCATTGCTGTTCTCCATTTCTTTAATGAATGAGATTCAGGACTTGGATGTGCAATTTTAAAATTTCAAGCTGGATTTGTTATTTTGAGGAAGACAGCAACACAGTTCAGGTTAACTTGAATATACATGGAGAAAGGGCCTTTAATCGACAATAGTTCAACAGATTGTTTATTTTTGCTGTTCTTCCATGAAACATTGGTATTGCTGGCCAGGCCAGCATTTATTGCCCAATCCTAATTGCCCTTGAACTGAGTGTGTGGATCAGTTATTTCAGGGGGGCAATAAAGAGTAAACCGTGTAGGCTTGGAGTTACATTTTTGCACATTCTCCCCGGGTCTGTGTGGGTTTCCTCCGGGTGCTCCGGTTTCCACCCACAGTCCAAAGATGTGCAGGTTAGGTGAATTGGCCATGCTAAATTGCCCGTAGTGTTCAGGGAGGTGTAGATTAGGGGGGTTATAGGGGGATGGGTCTGGGTGGGATGCTCTGAGGTTCCGTGTGGACTTGTAGGACCGAAGAGCCAGTTTCCACACTGTAGGGATTCTATGATTCTCTATGATTCACATGTAGGCCAGACTGGGTGGCTCTGGAAGGTTGCCTTCCCTGAAGGCCATTAATGAAGCAGATAGAATCTGACGCCAATTGCTGATGGTTTTGTGGTCATTGTTACCCAGACTCTCACTTAGTTTCAGTACCATCAACTGCTCAGTGGTATTTGAGACCTATTTCCTCCCGAGTATTAGCCTGGACCCCTGGATGACTAGTACATTGACATTACCGTGACATCTCTCTCCTTCAGTGGCGAATATGGAAAGAGAAACACACACCTGGGAAAATTCCAGCCTAAATGGTGCAAAGGGTCAGAGGGCTTTGGGAGACAGATGCACAAATCATTAAAATAACCACTCAGGTTAATAACACCATTAAATAAAAACAAACCCTGTGGTTCATTTTTTCAGGGATGGATTTGAAAAGTAGGGAGGTTCTATTAACCCAGTGTAACTCTTTGGTTAAATCATACTTTGAGCAGGGAGTGCAATTCTGGTCTCTATGGTTACATAAGGAATCAAGAGGGGCTGAAGGAAAGCAAGAAAAGGTTAACAAGGACAATGCCAGAACTGAGAAGCTCCAACCATCAGGAACAGCTGAAGAGGCTCAGGTTCCATTTCTGGAAAGATTTCAGTCGGTAGATTGGCAGGTGTTTTCAACTTGTTGACCAGAAATCAGTGCCATCAACAGAAGCACATGGCTAACAAATCCAGTTAGGAATTTATGAGGAACCACTTTTACTCACAGTGGGGATGAAACTGAAGACAAAGGAATAGAAAGATAAGAATGAGATAGAGAAGGGGTGGGTAGAGGTTCGTATGGAGTACAGACACAAGTATGGTGTAGATGGGCTGAAGGGCTTTTCTCTGTACTGGAAACATAACGCAACATCTGCAAAACTGTCAGCTTGTCCCAAAGGTTAGGAAATGCCCCTGTCCAGCCTCGATATGTGACCCTCTCGCATCTGGCTGCTTTAGTCTGGGCACATGATGGTAGATACATCCCAGAGGCGCTGGACCCTGCACCTCCCCCACCTGCCCATTCCCTGTCACTAAAACTGCTCAGAATTGAGTTGCAATGGGTTTGTCTAAATGGTCATCCCAGTTTTGGATCAGTGGGATGCTCTGCTCGTTAGTTTACTGAATGCCGTTCAAGGCGGGTGGAGTATTGATGGAGACAGCATCTCCCTCATCCAAATGTCCCAGTGACAGGAGCATTGCTCCAACCCTTAATTATTACTTAGTTATCTTAAACAAATGGTAGAATCCATTGGAATGGGCAGCTAATGCTGACTGCACTGGGGGTAATGGATCTGAAATACTCCTGTTCTCAATTGCACCTACACAATGCAGCTGTTTCTATGTTCATTGCAGGTACAATCAGGCACATTTGGAAAATCCTAAATTTGGCAATAAATTCAACATAAAGGTTTCTCAGTTATATTCCCAGAGTCCATAGGAGCTGTACCCCAGTGAGGGTCAGTGTGTGTGGGAGCCGTACCCCATTGAGGGCCAGTGTGTGTGGGACTGTACCCCATTGAGGGCCAGTGTGTGTGGGACTGTACCCCAGTGAGAGTCAGTGTGTGTGGGAGCCTGGACCCCAGGGAGAGTCGGTGAGTGTGGGAGCCTG